AAGATAATTAAAATAAATTAATGTTAATAACTAATTTAACTATATTAACATATTAATGTATTAATATATTAATATGATGCAATATACTCCGGTGCTTATTGCACTGGAATTTATCGCTGCCGGAAGCTGTGTTTACATGTGTGTCAGGCGGCTGGCAGGGTCAGCTTGCCAGGCTGGGGCTGCTCTAACCCAACTCAACATACTGTGGAGGGGCTGCCTGGGGCACAAGGGTGCTCTAGTGCAGGGCTAGCCTGCAGACAGCCCCTGCACAAAAGAATCCTTATGCCCTAGCCAGTTGCATCAGCATCTATACGTTTAGTCCTGCAAAGTAAAAAACTCCACAGCAAGATAGTATTTGTATTTACAAATACTACACTGCTGCAGAGTTTATTAGTTTCCTGTGGACTAATAGGAGCGCATGTGTAGATGCCGAGATGTTTACTGTGGATCTAGTCAGGCAACTCTGCAATAAACATCTCATGTAGTAAGTAACTGAGTAGCAGCAGCTAGGAAGCTAAGCCTGCTCATTCTTTTGCAAACTGTGGATTGGAGGCAGATTTTAATTTTGTTTTTGCCTGGTAAGGGGAAGAAACTACTCTTAGCATATTTCTTGCACATAATGCAGACTCCAATAAGCTGCTTTTGGGGTGTATGTTGTATGTAAGAAAATATGGTATATGGTTGCAGGATCATTGTAATGCATGCTCATTGGGAGAGGATAGAATCTAGTTAATGCCCCAAAGGCTGCACACCATCATGGACTTTTGGATCTTTATTGACCAGACAAGTCATATCTGCTTAATGATTTTCATCCAAAACATCCTCAGCCATTGATGAAGCAATTAGTGCTTTGTAGTACTAGCATTATGGGAATCCAATTTTCAAGGGACAAAATACAAGCTACAACTTACGTATGTGCTTATATGTACACTGTTAGATTTACCTAGGCACGCATTGCAAACACACTATGATTTTTCCTTTGTGAGCATCCTGGTGAACCAGAAAGCACAGGGTCAAGTCCACACTTCTGCAGCATACAGGAAACAGCCAGAAACTTGATTTAACATCTCAGTGAATGTAAAGCTATTTAGTTACCCAGTGGATGTCATGGTGCTTCATGTTCTAAAGAGGTAAAATCTGGTTGGCTTAGGGTAATGGCCAAGGACCCATAGGTGCTGACATTTATTTTTGGCAGCGGTGAGGTGAGGGGTGCTAAGATGATGGACATGTGGAAACTTTTACTTATTTCAGGTGACAGCCCTCTTCCCAAGGGAGGCCAGGGCCCTTGGGCCCCCACGTACTTGACACCTCTGAAAAGACCAATCTACCCTTCTTCCCTAAGTTTCTGTTTGAAGACATTTGTTTTGTAGGGCAGAAATCCCTTGAGTTGTGTCTGATAAAACAGAAAACTTTACAGGCCCACCAGAACTGAATCACCCCCCAAATCAATAAAAAGAACGAAAAGACAAGGCAAGTATAGAAAAACTAAGTAGACAGTGCTTTCCTGGATTTTGGTTGATTATCCCTTGTATATTGAGTTAATCTCAGTGAAGATTTTTAGTTTTGCTTTATAGCCAACAGATAAATCATGAAAAACAATGCTTCATTTTGAAAGCAGCATGTTTGAAAATATGTTTCTTTGACTAAAGAATTTTGCTCCCATTTTGATAATGTAAGCTGAATGAAAGAGGTCATGAATCATTCTTCTGCATGAATTTTTGCAATGCTAATATTGCTAAGAATGACTCTATAATAGGATGTGATCTAGTAGCTAGGCACTGTCTTTATTAGGTTGTGATAAAAGGGAGTTATCAATGGCTACAGTGAATTTAAGACACTTTATTGCTGAATATAGCAATGAAATATTACGGAATGCTTTTTAATTGGTAATTAGCTTCCAGTGTTTTGCTAAGACCAGCAGTTTGCATCCATATAGCACCCACATAAAATCAGTTTTCGGTCTGTACTCTACAGCACTAGTTAAAAATAAGAGGTGAACATGTTCTCCATTTTCAAGGTTTCGTTAATGAATAAAACTTTCATCCTTTTCTGGGCAGTTTCCCAGCTTTCCCATTGTCTATGGGAGCAGCTATTGAAAAATAATTTCGGTATCAGGCTTAAGTAATTAGTTTACAGGTGTGTCTACTTCTGGAGATTTTAGGCCTTTAGCAGGGATACCTTTAATAATTTTTGCTTTTAATTTTTGGATATTACAGACATTAAAGATGGAAAAGACCTACTGAGTAGCATTATCCAGGTCATCCCCTCAGAGTGTTCCATGAAGTATATTCTCAAGCACTTGCTCCAGCTACTATATATATATTGAAAAGAAAAATACTGCACAGGACATGAGTTACTATATGCCTTTTTCACACTAAATATTTAATATCTTCACTTCCTTGCTACTGTAATATAAACAACAATAGCACTTCAAGCTGCAATATGTAGCATTTTCTGTAACAGGGCTTCAGAGAACATTCCTCACCTCTGAGATTTGGAACTTGCATTATTAAGACTTATAATAGGGTCAAAAAAGCATTGTTAGATCAAAGGACCAATGATAGTTTAGACGTGTAATATTGTGTCTATCACGAGAGTTAAAAATTACTGTTTTATTGCAGCACTAGTCTGGGAAGCCTATTTTTCCAACTCTGAACTTGCAAGATTTGTCCAAGCCTGGAACCTTGTGACATGGCATAACTTGAACTGACATAATTTGATTAACACTTATATTTTTTACAATTTTTAAACTGAATTCCAAAATTTCAGTAACTATTATCTTGAAAACTGCCAGAATACATACACTATGTTTTAATGATGACTGGAGTTTCATTTGTTACTTTTACATCATATCAAGCATTCTAAGGGTGTGTACCTTACATTTAGATTAAGACCCAGGGTTAGGTTAATCTAAATGTCCAATCATGCAGGCATTCAGAGGGTTTAAATCTCCCAGAAAATGGAACTCCTGATCTAAACTAGTTCACATGAGGAGGTGCATTAATTTAGATCAAGATCAGATTAACCTTAACTAAGAATCAGTTAACCCAGTCTCACGTATACCTGCACATGTTCACAATGCAGCCCCAGGGCTATACTGTTCTGACTGAGATATTTTTAGCCCCCAACGGGGCAACTTCCTCCTCCATGGACCAACCAGCCCCCACTACAGACTCGTCAATGCCCTTGGACCCTCAATCCCACCCACTCTACCTCAACCTCAAGTTACTTGCATCAATTTCCCCACACAGCTCCTGAGAATAGCGAATGGTTGCATGTGCTGCTCCTGGTTTACTTTTACACAACTTAAAGTTGTGTTAATATAGATGAAGAACAGCAAATGACTCTATGCACCTTAAATTTACCAATTAGCGGGTTCATCTACACATGCATTTAGTCCAGTCTAGATTTACTGTACAGTAAAATACTGCAGAGCAAGTGTTTTTGGATAGGTATCCACAAATGCAGGGATTAGGGAGTAGATTTTCTCCCAGGTCCCTGCAGCCCTGCAATGGGTCCCTGCCACTATGTGGGGAGCTCGACAACCCCTGGGTGCTAGCACAGGGGCTGGCAGGGAGCACCAGGCCAGAAGACAGCTATCTCCTGGTACCAGGGTGGTGCTTGCTGCTGGGGTGGAGGCAATGTACCCCCTACCCTGGGAGCAGGGAGCTCCTGGCCCTGGCTCACAGATCAGGAACATGGGGCTTGGAAAGAGCTGCAGGTGAGAGGCAGGTCCCAGCCCACTGCCCCAATCCACCATTGAGGCTAGGTAGCCCACCAGCAGATCAGGACATGGGCCTGAGTCCTGCCCCTGACTGGGACAGTTCCAGGACAACTGTAGGCTCTGTGAGGAAGTCTGCATCTGCAGCCCAGAGCTGGCTGAGGACTGCCTAAAACAGGATGGTCCTCAGCCATTTGCAGGCTGCTCTGCTGCCCTACCCAGTCTGGGGCTGTCTGGCAACTGTCTTAGTCAGGGGCAGGTCTGAGACAGCTCCAGACTAAGTGGGGAACTGTCCCCATACAGGGAGCTCCGAGCTCCTGCTCTACAACTACAATTGTGATCATGGAGTGGGCGTGGGAATAAGCTCTCCGCTTGTCCCAGCATGATCAAGTCCCATCTCTTCGAGCATGGAGCAGGGCACGGAAGCTTCCTGCTGCCAGGGTAGGGGAACATTGTCTCCACCCAGGCATGCAAGCCAGGAGGCTGGGGAGCTTGTTCCCTGCCCAGCTCCATAAGCATTTCTCCTGGGGGGTGGGAAACAAGCACCCTGGCCTATTTCCCCCACCTCTGCACTTGTGGAGCTGGGCGGGGAACAGGCTCCCCTGCCCCCACCAGCAAGGAGGTCCCTGCACTGGCTCTGCAGTCATGAGGCTCTGGCTGGGAGACCCTTATCTCCCAGCAGCAGCTCCAGGTCATGGGGCTTGGGCTGGGAGACCTTTATCGACATCTCCCAGCAGTGGCCCCAGTCACAGAGCCAGCTCTGGGAGATAAGCATCTCCCAGCAGTGGCCCTGAGGTTTCAGAGCTGGCACTAGGAGATAAGGGTCTCTCAGCCCCCTGCTCCCTAAGCACGATCTCAAAGTAAGGGGCTTGGAGCTCCCTGCAACTGGGGCAGAGGGACACTGTCTTTGCCTGGCTCCTGTGGCAGAGCCCGCCCCAGCAGCAGGCACCTCACTGGGGCAGGAAGCTATCTCCCACCCTGTGGTGAATGGCTAACCATTGCTGCTGGTCAGGTGTCTACACAAGTACTACAGCACCATTACTAAGGCTGAGTAAATTTGCTATTTGTATTTGTATGTAGTAAATTTACTCAGTATTAGGAAAGTTTACTGCAAAGTAAACATGTGCCTGTGAAGATGCACATGCTTACTTCACTGTGAACTATGCTAATGCAAAGATAAGCATCTCATGTAGATGCCCCCAGTGAGTCATAAACTACTACAACTTTATCAAAAGTCATGTGAAGAAAAATGGCAAGAGCGTGCTCAGAATGACTGGATTTTAATGTGTTAACTTATGAGCTGTAATGACTACAAACACTTCCAGGAACCAGGATACAATTTGTCAGGAACAAAAGGAAACACTACTCCTGAACAGGTAATTAGACAAGGATCTGCACCAGGGTTGCAGGTGGGGGGATGGACAGTGTAGAATGCACATCTCTCCTTTTAAACATCCACTTGGGACATCCATTCAGGGATATAGTGTTCTGTGCTGTCAAACCTAACTAAAGTGTGTGGCCAGAGGCAGCTAAGAGGTGAAGACCTGTCTATGCTGCTCCAGGCAGAGAACTACAAATAGCTGAGAAGTGGCACAAAAAGACAAAGTCAGCTGGAAGCCATTGGACCTCACAGGAATCCAAGATTCAAACCCACCTTGAGGAAGATCTGAAAAACTTGAAGAGCAAGATCATTGCCGCTTATGTGCAAAGACAACTTTTCCCATCACTTAAACACTTTGAGGAAGTGAACAGTAAAGGGAGCCTCACAAATTTTCTCTTCTCCCTTTCTATGTTTTGTGGGGTGTATTCAGCCATGCTGGGACAATCAGGCTGGATGTTAATTTACCGTGATGACAGCAGACAAACTCAATCACTGAATTCTGGTTTTATTTCACATTGTCTATCATTTTATAGCCTCCTGGCAAGGAAGAAAATTAAAAGAAAGAAAAAACTTTTCAGGCAATATTTGTATTTGCAGTTAGAATTCAAAATCAGCAATATCAGTTCTCTAAGTGTTAAAAAAAAGTAACAGATGTTTGGAAATAGGAAAAAAGTTCAGAGAGAAGAAAAATTAAATAAGATGTCTTGCAAGAACAACTTTCCTATCTCTGGAGGTTATAAGAACAATCATGTTTCTTTGAGCAGCTGAATGAAGTCATCATCAAAATGTAGACACTCCTTTGGAAAAGAACTTCAAGCTTGGCTCAGTCACTAATGGATCCTAATACTGGATTAAACCCTGAATGAAAGAAAGAAAGAAAAAAAGGAAAAAACAGATCACTAAGTGTAACTCTTCTAATCCTGGACTAAAGGAATCTTTTTTCAAATCCTGCCCAGCTTTATTAGACACAAAATTCCCTTGGATCATGATGCTTTCAAAGATTTATCTAACTAATTTAGGGAACTAGTGAATCATGGCATCACTTACTTGGAGTATGCTTGGATGTATGTCATCTTGATTCTCAATGTCTTGTCAAGGATAGATTATCCAACCTAAAAAGTGTAGACTACCTAAATTGCCCTTCAGAATTTAGCTGCCATACTATATGGCTGTTGCCTTGTGTTATACCTTGTAAGAAAGCATGACAGTGTTGGAGAACCAGGGCTGCCCCCCTCTCCTGCTCTCTCTCTCTCTCTCCCTTTCTTTGTCTTTTGTATTCTAATTTCATTTTCTGGCTTTTACTCTGCTTTCTGCATGTCCTTTCACACCATCTGACAAAGTGAACTTGGGTTCATGAAAGTTTGTTCTCTCTCTTTCTATATATATATATATATATATATATATTATTTAGTTTATAAAGGTGCATATCTACTGTGCTTTCTAACTGAGAAAAAGCCTTAAGTTTGATGTTAAAGGCTGGTACTGAACCAATCCTCTCAAGTTGTTTTAAGATTTGGTTCTAAATCTTGAAACTTCAAGACGATAATCCCATCAGCTCCTCCTCATCTAACGTTTATGTCCCCTAGGACTTTATTTCCTTTCCCATAGTATCTTCAGAGGGCAAGGGAAGGGATTTGTTTCAGGGAGAAAATACTAGTTTGAAGAAAAGGAAGTTCCCTAGCATTCTATCAATACTAACTTCAGATCACAGTCTTCTGCAGGCATAGGATAAAGATCACAGAAACAAAACTTCAGTTTTCATCTCAGTCTGAATCATTCTAAACTCAGATGCAGATATTTTGCATAGACTCTAAGGGCACGTTCCCATGTATGGGGGCATGTGTTTGTGATGTCAAAAATACCAGTGGCCCAAATTTGCGCCGCTGCTTTTTGCTGCTGCGCACGCCCCTGCACATGGGGTTTGGTATGGGGCAACTACACCCAGGTGGGGTAGGGTAGGCTGGGACCAGCACCTATGCTGGCCCCAGCAGCCTTACCTGGGGACATGGGGGCCTCACAGAGCAGCACCAGTGATGATCTTTGGTTCTGGATGGCCAGGCTGCAGTTCTGGCAGTGCACACTGCTGCCATGTGCGCCACACTGTGCTTTTTTTTTTTTAACACTCCTTTTTTGACACAAGGATCTCCCAGCATCAAAGTTTGGCACTGGGCTTCAAATAAGCAGCACGGTGAACACTTGCATGTGTACCATGTGCAGTTTTGCAGCACTTCGAATAGCTTTGAGGCACCACAAAAGGCATGTGCACACTCGTCTGGACATGCCCTAATAGTGCGTGTAATAGCTGCTATAAAAGGAAGTCCTTGTTTTGATTTTTGCTTTGTTTACTAAGTATTCAAAGGAAATGCTTAAAAAAATAATAAAATCAAGGGAGACACTTACACACCACCTTATTTGGGATATACTATATCCAAACTCACCTCCCCAAAAGTATCTCAAAAAATTTCTTTCCCACAGGATTTAGACAGGGCAAAGGTGTGACACCAGTTTAAGGTGTGCTTTTTGAAAACATTAACAGTATACCAGATAATGGTGGCTATTAGGAGGAAAAGCTTTTTAACAAAAGGGTCATAGGTAAAGTCAACACTAGAATCTAGAATGAAAGTCTGTACTGATTTAGCAACTGCTTTTTTCAGGTGCTTGTGTGTGGTACCTGTAGGCAAATATTAAGTTTTTAATTATGATCTCTGTACTTTTGCAGCTATCTTTGAGTCAGTTTTCTGAATTCCTAAAACATTCTTTTATGCTGAAGAAGTTCACTTTTAATTTAGTGACTGGCCCCTCAAGTTTCAATTCCTTTTGGCTGTTCTTCTAATAAAGTCAAAATCCTACCTTTGGGGTCATAATTGTTGCCACAGTAACAGCATATAACACAGCTTTTGTATTAGGATTTTGTTGCCTGGGCCATTAAAGAAAGGAGATGGACTGTGGAGAAGCCTGCCACCTACATTTCATTTGTATGTAATTTTCTAGTTTCTTTAAAGAAATAAAGAAATACTCATTGGGAAATAAATAGAAGGCTATAATAAATGTTATTGTCCATCACTGGTACAATTATCATTTGCTTTAACTACAAGTACAGTGTTCTACTATAATATTTACTTTAAAATTATTAACCATTGAATCGCCTAAGTGTAAAAAGCAATACATAGAAGGAAGTGTATAAACAGGCTACTGGACTCCCTATGATGTAGGATACAATGGCAGTAATTTCAGCTATCAAATAAAGTTATAGTTATTAGTGTGTTTTGCCACTTGGAAAACACCCTGAAAATGTAATGACCTATTATAAATTCTTAAAGCTTCTAGAAATACAGGTATGTCTATTCACCTTCACAGAGTTCCTAATTAGAGACGCACAGAAAATTTGGCTGGACTGCCCCATTTTTGCAAACAGTGTTGTCCATCTGAGTTGCAGCAGGATTCTGTAAGGTAGCATTAAATGTTCTCTTCAAGACAGTGTCCTTAAGCAATGGGCTAAGCTGTGAAGACATAAATACATAACATCATGTTGTGAATATATCAACAATAAGCATACACATCATTCTACAACAGTTTTGGCTATACAGTTCCTAGGAAAGAAGTGTTCTGCACTGTGCATTAAAATTTTACCTAAGGTTTAGGCTTTCTAAAGCTTCAGTTTGGAAAAGGACTCAAATTGTCCACTACAGTTAAGAATATCATGTTGTACAATGTCACTCTGGATTTCAGATTATCAAATTATGAACAGTGCTAGAAGATGCAAGTACTCAGCCTCTCAGAGAATTAGCCCAGTTAAGAACCTAAGTAAGTATTTAGGACCCAAACTCTAAGAAACCATTTTTTTAAAGCCTGACCCATGATGAAAGGAGTCTTAGCTGTATAATACGCAAAGGACAAGGTGCTGACTCAGACTGAATGACAAAGAATATTTTCTGATCCTGAGTGAAGGGAAAGAACAAAGAAGAGAAAATAAAGCAGAAAGTAATGCTGTTTTGGGAGAGTTACTGTCTCAGAAAACAATAATTTTAATCTGTGTGTTCAGATTTCGTATAGTTTTTACTTTAAAAAATGCATTTACTACTAAATTATTTCATGATCATTTGCAAGAAAAGGAGTAGATGGGCCAATATGGAGATTAACCACTTTAAAGTAAATGTAATTTTCACTTTTAGAATACAAAACTGAAGACTACTGATATATGGGGTTGATAAGTAGTCTAACTACTTTCTATTTATTACTGGCCATTCTGGCCAGTTGCAGAGTCTAGACCTGAGGAATGGACCTGATGAATGGATCAATGACCATTAAATCCCACCATTTTCTCAGGGTGTTGTCTGTCAATTCCACTGTAAAAATTTATCATCACAGGCAGCTACTGGAAGGTGATATGTTAGGGTAGAAACAGATGTCACTTTTGTTGTCTTCATGCTGCCATAAAAATGTTTAAGCAAAGCCCAAGCCCTGTGTCATGCCACAAATACTCAAGATTTGTTACTGTGACAAGTGGTATCAATTTCTGCCACTATTTAGCATCAGATATCAGTTGGTTTTATGACAGCATGGGCAGCTTGGAGTTGCCCATGCTCTGCAGCTCCCACAGGTAGGTAGGTTCTCTGAGGACTTGCCCCAAGAAACAAGGACAAAATGGGATCAGAGGAGGAGAAAGTTGAGGCATTGTGAGTTAGAATACATGGAGGTTGAAGGGAAAGGGACTTGGTGGTGGGGGTCTGCTACAGACAACCACACCAAGAGGAAAAGCTAGACTTGGAATTCTCGAGGCAGCTCTCAAAGATCGTACAGTCTAGGGATGTGCTTGTCATGGGGGACCTAAACCACCCTAACATCTGTTGGGAGGAGCAGTCAGCGAAATCCAACCGTTCACGTAGGTTCTTAACCTGCATGCAGGACCTTCACCTAATGCAGGAGGTATACAATCTCACTAGGGGCAATGCCTTACTGGACTTGGGGTTGGCTATGGGGGAGGACCTGGTAGAGGAGATGCAGATTCATGGTCACCTTGGGGACAGTGACCACTAATCAATCGAATTCACCATATGGCATAGGGCAGGTAAGATATTAGTAGGGTGGAAGTGCTTGACTTTAGGAAGGCTAACTTCAGTGTGCTTAGGAGTTTAGTCAATGATGTATTGCATGATAGGACTATTGGTGAGATGGGAGTCCAGGAAGTGTGGTCATTTCTAAAAGAAACAATCCTTCAGGCGCAGAGGGAGACTATCCCAGTATGAGGGAAAAGGAGCCAAAAAATGTCCTTGGCTAAACAGGGAAATTCAGGGGAGCCTAAGGGCAAAAAAGAAGGCATATAGGTGGAAGCAGGGGGAAGCTACCAAGGAGGAGTATACCTACTTGGCCTGCACTTGCAGGGAGGCAGTTAGAAAGGCCAAAGCAACTACAGAGCTGAGTCTGGCAACACAAATTAAAGACAAGAAAAAGTCTTTTTTTAGGTATGTAGGGAGTAAAAGGAAGGTGCAGGGCCCCATAGGACACCTACTGAACAAGAAGGAGCAATTAGTGACAGAGAGTGGGGACAAGGCTGAGCTACTCAATGAGTTTTTTGCCTCAGTGTTCCTGAACAGGGCTCAAGATAAATCTAACAGGTTCTTAGATGGGCATCAGAGGGACACCAACCCACCAACTGTCGATGCTGACTTGGTGCAGGGTCACTTGGATGGACTGGATGTGTTCAAGTCAGCAGGCCCAGATGAGCTGCATCTGAGAGTACTGGAGGAATTGGCCGGTGTCATAGTAGAACCACTGGCGAGGCTTTTTAAGTGGTCATGGTGCTCGGGTCAGGTTCTGGAGGACTGGAAAAGCACCAGTGTGGTCCCTATTTTGAAGAAGGGGAGGAAGGAGAATCCAAGTAATTAAAGGCCAGTCAGTCTCACCTCCATCCGTGGAAAGGTCTTTGAAAAGATTATGAAGGATCATATTTGTGGGAGTCCAGCAGGAAAAAGAATGCAGCAGGGAAACCAGCATGGATTCATAGCAGGTAGATCATGCCTGACCAACCTGGTTTCATTTAATGACAAGGTCACAAAATGCTTAGATGCAGGAGTAGAGGTGGATGTCATTTTCTTGGATTTTAGCAAGGCCTTTGATACAGTATCTCATCCCATTTTCATAAATTAAGAGGCTGTGACAGACATGTTTACATGGTCTGGTGGGTGGCAAATTGGCTGAGTGTTCGCACCCAGAGAGTGGTAGTAGACGGGTCAGTATCAAACTGGAAGGATGTAGGTAGTGGGGTCCCACAGGGTTCAGTCCTTGGACCTGTACTCTTCAATATCTTCATCAGTGACTTGGCTGTGGGCGTGAAGTGCATTCTGTCAAAGTCTGCAGATGATACTAAATTGTGGGGTGAAGTGCACACTCTGGAGGGTAGGGATCAATTGCAGGCAGAAAAGTGGGCAGGTTAGAAATGTGGGAAACACACAATAGGATGCAGTACAACAAGGACAAGTGCAGAGTGCTGCACCTA